CCACAACTGTATATACCAGAGGCAGTGTGGGAAAAGGAAAGGAATTAGCATGGGGAGTGAGGTAGGGAATCAAGGGGTTAAAAAAAAGCAAAATATCTAGGAAACAAGAAATAGAAAATTATTTGTTGAGGGATCAGCAGTTAGCGTAATGGCTATGTCGCTGGACTCCCATGTAGTCAACTAAAGTTCACGTCCCGGACCTGGTGGCTTAAAACTCACACCGGGCACATGTGCATGTGTACCCAAGATCCTGAGAGGAGAATGGAGGAGAAGGGAGTGTGGTGTGGCCATCCCCCCCGGGGTGGGGTGATTCTTCGCTTTTTGTCTCTCTCTGTCTGTCTGGCAAGCGCACGCGCCCTATAGCGAAAACCTCTCAAAAAAAATTATTTGTTGATAGCATGATGTATGGTAATATCCTTGATAGGATGTATTCTGGATGGAAAATCTCAGTTTGTAAACTGTACTGATGCACAGTGTATGACTGTAAATAAGTAAAGATATTATTTTACTATATTCTTTAAATAATCAAAATCAGTACAAAAAAAAAGTCCATGATGTACAAAGTATCAACTTTTTTAGTTTTTTTGCCATGGGGCGTGTTAAGGCAGTTGTATCTTCATCCTATGATGTACCTCCATTTTGAACTCGTTTTTATATCAGAAACTTGCTTTCTCTTTTTTGCCTAGAGTAGACAGAGTGATTAACATTCCTACTGCCTTTGCTAAATAACCCCAAACTCCCTGCCCTAAGATGTTCTATAACAGGGGCTGGCAGATGGTCTGATGGTTAAGGGTGCTGGACTCCCATGTGGCTCACTGCCATTTGACTCCCAGACCTGGCGGCTTGCTTTCTCATTTTCCCTCTCTTTCTCTTTCTCTCATTCTGTCCCTCTCTGGTTAAATTAAAATAAATAATTCTTAAAAAAAAAACCAGATTTTTTTTTTCTTCATGGGAGAGCGTGGATGCAGACTCCCACTACCACAAATTATGCAGCCCATTTCCTGCATTTGGGAAAATCACAGAGGTCAGCACACCCACAGTGCAAGGAGTGAGTCTTGCCCTGGGAAAACCACCTATGTGATCACGGTGTTTCCCCTGCCAGGTAAGTGCATTAAAAAAAAAAGTTCTATGGTGATATGACCAGTAGCCAGTGGACCCATTTGCCCTGAGTCATGAAGGCCATTAAGATTCCCTTGTGTTTAGGTAGGGATGGGACATACCCTTAGGAATGATTAACCTGCTTGTTTTGCTTCTGTAAACTGCTTCTGCATGGTAAACCCCCACACCCTTTCCTTTCAAACCCACCATGCTTTGTCATGTCATATAAAATGGTTAAAAACATAACACAATGAAAAGACTGGCACCTTCCATAGTTGCTTAAAAGACACACATCTCATTGATAAAGACATACGTAGATTTGAAGACTGGAAAAAGACATGACATGCCAACAGAAGCCATAACAAACACACAAAAAAGCCAGAGTCAAGAGACCCTGATATCATACAAAGCAGACTGCAAGATAAAAATAATAAAAAGAGGCAAAGGACACTATATAATACTATAAGGATTAATTCACCAAGAAGATGTAACAATTATAAATATTTACATACCCAACACTGGGACAACCAAATGCATAAAAATGAAGACTGTTAGGTCTAAAAGGAGAGAGAGACTGCAACACACAAATTGCTGGGCATTCCAACACCCCACCATGGCCACTGGACAGGTCATAAGACAAAGGAGCCAACTGATATCACAAACTAAATGAACCTGACATACAACATTCCCACCATAACTACAAAATAAACATTTTTATCATCTTCACATGAACAGTTTTGAAGACTGACCACGTAACAGGGCACAGGGCACAAAACAAGCCTCTACAAATTTAAAAGTACAGAAACTACATTCAGCATTCTCTCTGACCACAAGGGAATTTGAAATCAACAACAGAAAAAGCCTTTGAAAACACATACAAATATGGAAACTAAACAACCTACTCCTGAACAACTTCAAAATTACTGAAAAAATTAAGACTGGAAACCGAAGGTTTATAGAAACCAATGAGAATACATGACTTGCCATAATCCTTGGGACACACTGAAACAAGTCATGTGAGGGAATTTTACAGCAATTAATGCTTACAAGGGAAAAGAAAAATGAAACGAACATAAAGGTGGCAAATAAATAACCCAACACATCTGAAGAACCTATAAAAGCAACAACAAAGAAGACCACAAAATACCAGAAGAAGAGAAATAAGAAAGATTAGAGCTGAAATAAATACAATAGAATAAAAGTACTCTATGAAAAAAAAAATCAATGAAACAATCTACTTTTTTTTTTTTTTGAGAGGTTTTTGCTATAGGGCATGTACGCTCACCAGAAAGATAGAGAGTCAGAAAGCGAGAATTCACTCCTCAGGGGGGATAGCCACACTGCAGCCCCTTCTCCTTCATTCTCCTCTCGGGATCTTGGGCTCACACACACATGTGCCTGGTGTAAGTTTAAGCCACTGGGTCCAGGACTCGAACTGCAGTTGACTAAATGGGAGTTCAGCAACATTGCCATTATGCCAACTGCTGGTCCCAAGAAAACTACTTTTTGAAGAGGATAAATCTAATTTACAAACCATTAGCTACGCTAATCAAGAAAAACAGAGAAAGCAATTAGATAACTAAAATCAGTAATAAAGCAGGAAATATTACAACACATCTATCAGAAATACAAAAAATTATATTAACACCAATAAGTAAGAAAACCTAAATGATATGGGCAAATTTCTGTGCATATACATGCTACCTAGACTAAACCAGGAAGAAATAGAACACCTGAATATAACAATAACAAACAATGAGACTGCATCAGTGTTAGTCTTGTGACAAGGAAAACCCCAGATCCCGATGGCTTTATTTCTGAATTCTAGAAACAAAAAGTAAACAAAAGTGCAGACCATTATCTTATGAATACAGATTTCTGTATTTCTCAACAAGATACTAGCAAACTGAATCCAATAGTACATTTAAAAATTGAACAACATGGTCTGGTATGTTTTATACTAGGGATGCAAAGATGGTTCAACATATTTAAAACAATAAATATAATAATTCACATTAAGAAAAGGAACACAAGGGACCAGCAAGTGGCGTAGTGGTTAATGCGCTGGACACTCCCACATGGCCGACCATGTTTCGAGTCCCAGACCTGGTGGCTTGCTTTCTCACCTTCCCCCCTCTCTCTCTGTGTCTCTCTCTCTGTGTTTCTCTCTGGTCAAATTAAAAATTAATAAATTATATAAATAAATGAGTGGATAAATAATTTAAAATTTAAAAAGAAAAGGAAAACAAAAATATATCAATTCACAAACAAAAAGCATTTGATAAAATACAATATCCCTTCATAATCAAGTCTCAGTAAAATAGCTATAGAAAGTACATTTCTCAACACAATTAAATCCATATATGACAAACCCATTGCCAGCACCATACTGACTGTGGGAAAGCTTAAAGCTTTTCTAAAAACTGGAATTAGACTAGGTTGTCAACTTTATCCACATGGGTGACTGCAGTTAAACTCCAGACACTGGGGACTTGAAATTCACGCCAGGCTCATTTGAATGCATGCCGACAAGCCTGAGTGGAGAATGAAGAAGGGATTGCAGCATGGGCATCCCCTCTGGAGGGTGATTTCTCACTTTACCTCTCAGTCTCTCTCCTGAGAATATACATGTTCTATGGCACAAACATGAAAAAATTAAAATGAAATAAAGAAGGGAAATTGCTCCTGTTCAGTCAACACAGTTGTAAACAACACACAGAAAAATCTCAAAGAGTAAACAACAGAACCCTTAGAGGTTAGGAAAAATTTAGTAAAGTGACAGGATACAAGTATCTATAGTGTTTTCACACACCAACAATGAAGACTGAGCCAGAACTAAAAAGCAATTTCATTTGCAAAAGCCATGGTAAGATAAAATAAAATACCTAAGAATTAACCTAACCAAAGAGGTGAGAGACTGCTGAAAGGAAAACAATGAAAAACTGAAAAAAAAAAAATGAGTATGTTACCAGTAATGGAAAGACATCTCATGCTCTTGTATAGAAAGAATCACTATATCAATTCTACTCAAGTTACTTTATAAATTCAGTGCAGTATCGAGCAAATTACCAGTGGCAGTCTTCAAAAATTGGAGGAAACAATCAAAAACTTTATCTGGAATCATAAAAAGCCCCTATCATCAAGGCAATAATGCACAAAAAGAATAAAGTAGGAGGCATGTCAATCTGACCTCAAAATATATTAGAAAGCTGTGACAAACAAACCAATATGGTACTGGCACAAAAACAGGGATGGAGACCAATTCAACAGATTAGAGAATCCAGAACTCCAAAACATAAGCCAACTGACCTTTGACAAAGGACACAAAATAATCCAGTGGTGAAAAGAGTGTCTCTTTAGCAAATGGTGCTGTTAGAACTGGAGATACACCCGCATAAAAATGAAACTAGACCCCTTTATCTCACTATTGACAAAAATCAAATCAAAATACATCAAGGATCTAGATGTAAAGACTCAAATTATAAAAGCACTGGTAGAAAACACAGGAGAAACTCTTGAGGACACTGAACTAGACAGAGATTCCTTAAATAAGGCCCCTAAAGCATAGGCAATCATTCTAAAAGTAGACAAGTGAGATTACATCAAGATAAAAAGCTTCTACACAACAACAAAAAATAATTAGAATGAAAAGACAACCCCGAGAATGGGAGAAAATATTTCAAACTCTGTGTCAGATAAAGGACCAATAACCAGAATATATAGCAGTCTCAAGCAGCTCACCCACAAAAAAATGAACAATACAATTAAAAATAAGCAAATGAGGGGAATGGACAATGCCAAAAAGCATATGAAAAAATGCTCATTGTATCTTATCATAAAATAAATGTCAGTCAAAACTACAAGGAAATACCACCTAACCCTAGTCAGAATGACTATGATGAAAAAAAAAGAGAGAGAGAGAGAGAATGACAAGTGCTGGTGTCAGATAAAGGACCAATAACCAGAATATATAGCAGTCTCAAGCAGCACACTCACAAAAAAAAGAACAATACAATTAAAAATAAGCAAATGAGTAGAATGGATAATGCCAAAAAGCGTATGAAAAAAATGCTCATTGTATCTTATCATAAAATAAATGTCAGTCAAAACTACAAGGAAATACCACCTAACCCTAGTCAGAATGACTATGATGAAAAAAAAAGAGAGAGAGAGAGAGAATGACAAGTGCTGGTGAGGCTATGGTGAAAAGGAAACTCTCCTACAGTGTTAGTGGTAATGTAAATTTGCACATCTACTATGGAAACCAAATGGAGTTTCCTTAAAAACCAGCAGATAGAATTACCACTTGATCCAGTGATTCTACTGGAGTGGTTCCACAAAGACTGGTCCTTGGCATTTAACCAAAGGACAGAAAAACAGTCAGTCAGAAAGACACTGGCATCTATGTTATTTACAGCATTATTTATAATATCTAAGGCATGGAATCAACCTAATGCTCAAGAACTGATAACTGGATTAAAAAATTGTGACACATATATACTATGGAATACAGCTCAGTCATAAGGAACAATTGGACTGTCAGTTGATACAAAATGGATAAATACAGAAGGTTTAATACTAAGTAAGAAAGGCTATGAAAGACAAATGTTGTATGTCCCCACTTAACATACATTGACCATCTACACTATGGCAGAAATAGAAAGATGTAAGATACAGTAGTAGGGAGAATAAGTACAGATACCAGATATAAAAGGGGAGTAGACAGTAGAGAGTGGGTAGAAGGGGCTCAGGGAAGAAACACTTAACAAAGAAAAGACTATAAAGTTCTCTGTTGAAAATTAAGTATATAATGATATCTTTAATTTGATAACCACATACTTCATGCATTCTTTGAAAAATCATGTTGAGTGATATCCTTAATTTGACTGCCACGTACTTCATGCATTCTTTGAAAAATCATGTTGAGTTATAGAGATGTACAATGATTATAATAACATAAATAAGAAATCATTTTCTAAAAAGAGTTTTTTCAGCCCACCAGAACATTCTAG